CGCTGGGACATTAATTCATATCATCGGATTGCATGGCTCAGCTTTTCAGGAATGGTCATTATTGTGTAATTTATCTCTTCTGTTCATACTAAATATATTGTTCTATATCCAGTTTAAATGTGCTCCTCATCATATACTGGTAATTATTGAGATACGATGAGTCAATGTAGACAATGATGTGACTCCCATGTAACTTATTATAGATTAAGCAGTTACATCGTGGCAAATTTACAATTTTAGGATTAGGTCCATTATTAGAGCAGTACTAATGACTAAGTAGACCATAATTCTACAGATGCATGGCTGGGCGCCTTCGGCTAGGGCATGCCCAATAAAATTAATGAGGTCAGAATCAAGGCCAAACACCTACACAGCTATTCGTTTACTTTTCGCCACAGACATTATTTACATGATTCTGCAGATTTAATCCATTACATTTCTCGTAAGAGGCATACACTTCGGCATCAGCTTCAGATGACTTATTAGTCCTCTAAATGATCGAAGTTGTCAAATAGTAGTCGGTCCTGGGTATTTCAGGATGACTGTTATATTGGTTACGTAAACTTGCTTTCAGATATAAATATGGCTTTCAACAAAACGGAACAAGGGCCGCTAATTTCGCAATGCCATTTGCTTCGATATCTATGGGGGAAATGTGATTCACATTTCACTGTCTCGCGAGTTTTGATCAATTACTAATGGTCAGGAGCACCCAATAAAACCAACGTGGAAAGGATCAATGTTTTGCTTACACCTACTGAATAAGGATTTGGAGAACAAAAGTTAGGTTAAAACACATTAAATGTTACATCTTAAGAACCCAACTTATGTGGAGAAGAATACATATTTTGAGTTTACAAACATGCCTCATATATTTAGCCGAAGCATTGTTGTGGTTTTTTTCTCAGTCCAAAATAACCGGAGCCAAAGTTCGAGTTCTGCAGAACTCATTCAAGGTTCGTAACCCCACAATGCACTCGCTCCGCAACTCCGCCTGGACTCTTTCTGGTGTGACTGCCGGTCTCAAGCTCCAATAGAGAAGGAAGGTTGGACATGGTAAGCGAAGACATCCCGTAGAATATAACTCGTTAAAAATGGCATTCAGGAAAAATAATTCGAACTATTTAAACTCTTCGCTGGTAGTTAGATCTTCATTTAGAAGAAATATGAGGCCTCATGATGAAAGCCGAGTTCCCCCGGAAGTCACAAAACTGATTCCCTTTCTGACAACCAAAGCAACCACTAGTTTAGGTACATGGAGTGCTCGTACAATGTGGGACACCGGGAGAGTCATCCCAGTTGATGCAGAAATGAAAAAATATGGCCTGGAAGTTCTTGGAATCAATGGGGCACATTGAACCCAGTTTGAACTACAAAGATTAGCTTCAAGAGACCTGCTGATATACTCCAACCATGAAGAATAAAATGCTACACATACACAAAGAATTGTACTGATGCTATCCATACAAGCACAAAATGCACTTACAGGATGGGAATCTCATGGACCAAGGGTCATCAAAGCCCCATTCAAAACAATGATAGAGGGCATTTCAATGAACATCATCCAATGGTATGCGCCTACCAACGACAACAGAGAAGACGCTAAAGATCAATTCTACAATAGGCTGCAGTCAATCATCGAGAAGTGTCCAACAAAAGACCTGACCATTCTGATGGGAGATTTCAACGCCAAGGTTGGAACGGACAACAATGGATATGAAGATATCATGGGACGACACGAACTGGGAGAAAGGAAAGAAAATGGTGAGAGATTTGCAAATCTATGTGCCTTCAATAAACTGGTCTTAGGCAGCACGATATTCCCACATAAACGCATTCACAAAATCACATGGACTTCACAGGATCACACCAAGCAAAACCAAATCGATCATATCTGCATCAACAAAACGTTCAGGAGGACTATAGAGGACGTGAAAACCAAGAGAGGTGCTGATATAGCATCAGATCATCACTTGCTGGTCGCCAAGATGAAATTGAAACTCAAGAAGCACTGGACAATGGGGCGGAAAATATCACAAAAGTTCAATACGGATTTCCTTCGGGATACTGACAGACTCAACAAATTCAGGTTAGCCCTCAGCAATGATTTTCAGGCCTTTCGTGATCTGCTCAATGGAGAAGGAACTATTATGATAACAACTGGAAAGGGATAAAAGAAGCAATAACTTCAACATGTTGTAGTATGGTGGCGAGTCGCGGTTGACTATGATCAACACTACAGGAATACTACGTACCAGATAAGATACTTCGTAGGCCAAATGTTAGAAGGCTGTAGATGGCTGTGGTCGAGGTGTATTTGTTGACGATCTCGTGGTATCGATAGAATACCGAGATCGTGCCAAGTTACAAGTGTGGTTACTGAGCGTAACCGAATTCGTGCAAAGTTACTATCAGCGGAAGAATGTATGTGTTTTGGTACAGTTAAACAAACAAGTACAGTAAAACAATCCCTGGTACAATTGGTCGTAGTCATAATTGTTTCCATTACATCAATCGCGTTTTCTTGATAAAAGTAGGCCAATACAATGTCATGAGGTTCTGGGCCACAAGTACTAGCAGACTGGAAAGAAGGACTTGCGGTCAAAATACCAAAGAAAGGAGATCTCACTAGGTGTGATAACTACAGGGGCATCACTATTCTCATAATACCGGGAAAAGTCTTCAACAGAGTATTGTTAAACAGGATGAAGGACTCCGTAGACGCCCAGCTTCGAGACCAACAGGTTGGATTACGTAAGGATCGATCGTGTACAGACAAAATTGCAACTCTACGGATCAATGTGGAACAATCAGTTGAATGGAATTCAACACTATATCATGTATATTAACTAAGTGAAAGCAATTGAAAGCGTGAAAAGAACACTACGGCGTGCCTCAGAAAATAGTCAATATCACACGGAATTCTTATGATGGATTAAACTGCAATATCATGCATGGACGGCATATCACAGACTCGTTCGAAGTAAAGACCGGTGTCAGGCAAAGTTGCTTACTCTCACCCTTTCTCTTTCTCCTGGTGAAAGACTAAATGATGAGGACGTCAAAATCTGGGGGAAGCACGTGATACAGTGGATAGCTAGAATTCAGCTGGAATATCTAGACTTCACAGATGATCTGGATCTGCTATCGCACATACAACAACAACTGCATAAGAAGACGATAACTGTCACAGCAGCCTTAGCAACGTTTCCTGGTACTGACAGATGAAAGTTAACCCTAAACTTTAATTTAGTCGGCAGTGTTCGAGTAAAGACCTTTCACAATTTTTATTTGATTTTCCGTCATCTCTTTAACAATAAAGCCTCACGATTAAAGAATATAGTTGGTTGGTTTTAAATGGTTAGCTGCTGCGTGTTGTTAAACGGCATAATATCCAAGCTACAAAAGCGATCGAACACAATAAACTACTGAATCGTATTTAGTAGTATAGTATGTCTGTAAAAATCTGTAAGGGTAGAGGGAAAGACGCGAAAATATTCTTGACGATTTTTAGTTTACATGATGGATTTGTTGTAGCTAGACAACCATTGAAAACCAGAGGGAACTGAGTAACTATTGTTTCTAGTATGGAAACTCTCAGCGGCACGCACTCACAACCCGGCCAAGGCCCGAACCCAATACTGTCGGTTTCCCTGGACCTCTTCATCACAGAGTTGGTCTACATATTTAGTTACAATCGTTTCTAATGTTGCGAAACATCGCCCAATTTTATTGGTCCCTAAATGCCTTAGACTCGATATAGATGAATGACTCAAGTTACAGCTTTTCACCAGAACTCCGGCGATCATTAGTCGAAAGTAGTCGATTGTTCATTCAATAACTAAAAATTTAAAAGCATTTCATCGATAATGATTTGTATTTGACAAATTTACAACAGTAAATTATTCAGAACCGAAAAATCTCCATATGATACTATCTATTAACAAGTACATTTGGTAAACAATCGGTTGCATTTTAAATTTACGCAGCTTATGTAGTTATTGAATCGTGTAAATTAAGACATCAGGTCATTAATGATTAGAAATGTTTTATCATGAAGAATCGTTATTCAACTTCTGATTTAAAGCCTTTTACTTTGACCCTATTTAATGATACTACATACTTCAGTATTTCTAGGTCTAACCACGATAAATGCATGGACACTGAAGAAGATCTCATTTACAATCGGTAGGATTTTTTTAGCCAGAAATATCACCCACTTACTTATTGATTGAATCAATCGGACTGAAACTTTCTGGTTTTACTAAATTTCTGGTTAGCGTTTTTTTAGCGAGTTAGTTTTCTAAGGGATGGGGACGCAGACCCCGTACCCAACCCTCCTCCTTTATCCGGGCTTGGGACCGGCAGTAGCCCCCGGAGGGACTTCAGGCGGAGTTTTTACTAAATTAGTACTAACGAAAACAATAAGTTTGAGAATGCAATATCGATAGTATTCGTCAGGAGAAGTTATTATCCTGATGTCTTATTGGGAAATATTTATTTATGAAGTTAAAAGAATTAGTACTCAGGCAGAACTTTATTAGTGACATTGAATCATACCAGTATAATGACAGAGGGTTGACTTTAAAGAGCATTACCAATAGGTCATAACTCATGAACTAATTGATACTAAGTGATACTCATGAAATTACGTTTATCGTCATATTTTAGAGAAAAAACCTATGTGTCAAAAAAATGTATATGAACCATTCAGATAATATTGCTGAAGGTAAGTAAACAATTATCTATGTATTTAGTATAATTATTACTCAGTCAACTACATTTTAATTATGCAAAACCTATTTAAATCAATCTAAAAAGGATTATTTACGCAATAATAAATTATCCATGATAAAAATCGTCAATAATAAAAGAAAAATTTATTTTGCATAATTTTGTTAATTTATTACTCTTATTCGTTAAAAAATCTGAAGTCAAGTAGTGATTTAAATTTTGAATGGACACACTGTGTTATAATTGAAATGTAAAAAACTTTGTCAATGCAATCATCATCATCATCATCATCATCATCATCATCATCATCATCATCATCATCATCATCATCATCATCATCATCATCATCATCATCATCATCATCATCATCATCATCATCATCATCATCATCATCATCATCATCATCATCATCATCATCATCATCATCATCATCATCATCATCATCATCATCATCATCATCATCATCATCATCATCATCATCATCATCATCATCATCATCATCATCATCATCATCATCATCATCATCATCATCATCATCATCATCATCATCATCATCATCATCATCATCATCATCATCATCATCATCATCATCATCATCATCATCATCATCATCATCATCATCATCATCATCATCATCATCATCATCATCATCATCATCATCATCATCATCATCATCATCATCATCATCATCATCATCATCATCATCATCATCATCATCATCATCATCATCATCATCATCATCATCATCATCATCATCATCATCATCATCATCATCATCATCATCATCATCATCATCATCATCATCATCATCATCATCATCATCATCATCATCATCATCATCATCATCATCATCATCATCATCATCATCATCATCATCATCATCATCATCATCATCATCATCATCATCATCATCATCATCATCATCATCATCATCATCATCATCATCATCATCATCATCATCATCATCATCATCATCATCATCATCATCATCATCATCATCATCATCATCATCATCATCATCATCATCATCATCATCATCATCATCATCATCATCATCATCATCATCATCATCATCATCATCATCATCATCATCATCATCATCATCATCATCATCATCATCATCATCATCATCATCATCATCATCATCATCATCATCATCATCATCATCATCATCATCATCATCATCATCATCATCATCATCATCATCATCATCATCATCATCATCATCATCATCATCATCATCATCATCATCATCATCATCATCATCATCATCATCATCATCATCATCATCATCATCATCATCATCATCATCATCATCATCATCATCATCATCATCATCATCATCATCATCATCATCATCATCATCATCATCATCATCATCATCATCATCATCATCATCATCATCATCATCATCATCATCATCATCATCATCATCATCATCATCATCATCATCATCATCATCATCATCATCATCATCATCATCATCATCATCATCATCATCATCATCATCATCATCATCATCATCATCATCATCATCATCATCATCATCATCATCATCATCATCATCATCATCATCATCATCATCATCATCATCATCATCATCATCATCATCATCATCATCATCATCATCATCATCATCATCATCATCATCATCATCATCATCATCATCATCATCATCATCATCATCATCATCATCATCATCATCATCATCATCATCATCATCATCATCATCATCATCATCATCATCATCATCATCATCATCATCATCATCATCATCATCATCATGATGCTTCATTTCGAATTGTCTGATTTTTAAATTATATAGTCTCGCGGTATTACCAATATTGTGGAACTTATCCAGAACCATAAACGCATTAGTTTTAACAGTGTTGGTTTAATTAATATTATAAATAGTATGTTTTAATGTATATTGTAATGTTTATTTTAATATCTATACAGACAGATCTATCGAAAGAGTTAAATAGAAGGGAGAAAAAGTGAATAACTTTTTAACTGTTTATACAAAATGTCACATCAGAACTGGGCATTGATAGAAAACAAGTATATTTGTAAATTTGTTAAAACCAGTGACAAAATATATATTGTAAGCCGAAATAGGTTATGGCTAGCAGTGGAAGCCAGGACTTACGTTTCGTCGTATTTATAACTCGTCGGCTGGATGTACCTGAATCTCAGAGTTGATGTTCAATCTGAAATACATCCAGCTGACGAGTCCCAAATAAGATGAAACACACATCCTGGATTTCACTGCTAGCCACCATCCATCTTTGCTTAGAGTACTTTTGAATTAAGGCAATATCGAGGCAATCCATACAATATGCACATATGCCAATAAGAGAATAATCATTTACAGTCCTAAACATTAATGAGAAGATTCAAGTAAACGATACCAAAGCAATTTAAATTATATGCAAATTTAGAATAACAAAATATTCACAATAATCATTACAGACAACAGTTTTTTTTAAAAAAGCCCTAGGCTATTATGATGAATTCGTTAGTTCCTAGCAAATTGTTAATTTAATCTCAATGTTATTGATAGTAGTTAAGATGAAAACCAGTAGATGTTTTTCACTAGTCAAATAATGAAGAATCTACATTTTATAAAGTTAATTGTGAAATAAATAAATAAAAATACTTTTTTTACACAGAGATTATTGAAAGAATTAAATGTACCTTTGAAACAATCTATGTTACTAAGTTAGTGAAATGATAATCATGGCTGTTACGATATTTCATTGTGTTAAAATGCAATATTTAAATAAAAAATAAATCATCAGTGTAACTGTGCTGTTGATTATTGATTTCATGCAAGTAGTTCGCAATGGATTGATCACTGGGTAGTGATCAACGTTATGTGTGTCAAGTCCTTCTTAGTGAAGATCGAATTCTATCGACCAAGTTGCAATGTGTCCACTAGTCTACGTGACCCGAAATTGGGTGCACTATGTTGTCATAAGATGGTGGTTGGAGGTAGTCAACAGGAAACCCTGAACGCGGGTTTCGTGCTACTTGACACTCGTCTGCAAGGTGTACCTGTAATCTTGAAGTAACTGGTGCTCGCCGACGAATTCGACCCCGTGTCACCCATCTTCAAAACCAAAGACGTTACCACTGGGCTATCCGGGCAGCGACGGACCTCCTGTAGGACTGAGTTCCCTTCATGAACTTAAATGAAGCCAGAAAGAACATTGATGCAGAATAATGTGAATTCTCAATATAGGGGTTGTGGAGATGATTAACGTTTTGATTGAGATCATGAACCAAATGATGTTAGACCACAGTTGGAAACTTGGAAGCACTGAACGGCCGTTTCGTCCTATTGTGGGACTTCTCAGCAGCGCGCATCCACGGTCCCGCTCGCGGGATTCGAACTCAGGGCCTTCAGTATCGCTCGCTAGCGCTTAACCTACTGGACCACTGAGCCGGCATTCAATGCTGTTAGTGTCTAACATCAATTGGTTCATGACCTCAATCAAAAACTTGATATCAATTCGTTATATTTCGTGGTTAATATGGTGTTAGAATTAAAGTAACATTAACGATGGGTGATGTAATAGTTGAGTGAAGTTTAGAGACATAAGATGAATTATGTGATAATGAAGGGTCTACATAAGATTAATAGAATTAAAAAACTGGTAAGATCGGTTACGTAATAATTGAATATGACTTGAAGGGTTCACATAATTTAAGAGAATCAAGTAAGTGGAAATGTATGAGTGAAGGAGTGGTTTGAGAATTCGGTAATGGAAGAGAATTATGACAAAATAAAACTAATGACTTAAAAAAATTGAATGACCAGGGTAGTGATTCCATGAATCGTATGTAAACCTTTCATTACCTCTCAAATTTTCATATAATTCATCTTATGTCTCTAAACTTCACTCAACTATTACATCACCCATCATTAATGTTTCCTTGGTCCTAACACCAAATAACCTCTCAACTGTTCTTGCACATAAATATAAATATAGTTATTATTGATAACATTTGTCATTCCAATTCTTTATGTTCACTTATGTCAATTGTTCCGTACTATTTATAACCTCAATGTAAAATTCTAATACATATTTGGTTGTAAGCAGCTGACGAGAAACCGTGAAATATAATGAATTCAGGTTATTTGTTTATTAATTTATTTAAACACATAAACATCAGTGCAAGGAGGCATCAAATATATATGCGCCACACTTCCTCATTCCATTTGTTTGAAGGCTGGGGTACTGTTCAGGTGTCAAAACTGAAACAGATGGTTTTCTTAAGAAGTCAATCAAGGAGCCCTTGACCTGAAGGTCTAATCCACAAAACAGTGGAGCGACGTTACGGGGCGAAGTTCCATGGTAACCGGCGGCCATTTTTTCCCTTACAATTCTGGACCCCATGTGCACCATCGGTTTGGGACCAAAGTTTTTCAACTCCCCTATGGGAATCATCTGCATACAACCAACCCGGTTAAGGCCCTGGATATTCACTTTCAATTTCACTCCCAATTACGTCAACAACAGCCCCACCACAAGAAAGTAGTGAGTAAGTGTTTCCTGTCAGTGGTTGTATACACATGGCTATGTGAGAGCATTTCAAACGACAGAGTAAACTCTCTCCACCCTCAACCGAACTAGGGAACCTTTTTGGGGAGGGAAGGGCTACCGTGTCATTGATATTAACTTCAAGTTTAATCAAATAACGTTTTCAATCAGACTTATTATTACACTGATACAAAGTTTACAATTTCCTATAGAAATCACAACAATAATCAACCATCTCATAAATGAATTATTTATGATTTTTATCATGATTAAGATTGTATATTGTACAATTTATCACATGAAAATTAACCCATGAAAATTATCTTATAAGGAGATAAATAAATATGCACTTAGAAAATGAATACTTATTGAATTCATATAATCTCCACAGAACCCCCCCCCACCCATCTTTCTAATGATAATAATCATACTAATGGTGTTATTCTAGAATGTTTAGTTCAATAATCTAATGATTTTTATGTACTTATAATTAAACTTCCTATTCATTTGGATCATGAAAATGTATCCATTTAATATACGCAGTTTATCAATGACATTCGATGTTATTAGATATTGAGTTAATAAAATTCAATTAAATAATAACATTTAGTGAAAAAAGACCCCAGCTAATTATCATTATTATATCATTGAAATATTTTATTTGGTAAGTTGTATGTAATAGAATTCTTCATTGTTTATTGTGCATATTTAAAACAAGAAGTTCACCGAAGGGATCTCTTTTCAACGAATTTGTTATCAAGCTAGTATTATAATTTTTTTGGTTAGCGTTTCTTTAGCGAGTTAATTTTCCGTGGGATGGGGTCGCTAACCCTATGCCCAACCCCCCTCCTTTATCCGGGCTTGGGACGGGCAGTAGCTCTTGGATGGACTCCAGGCGGAGTTATAATTTTTCTGGGCAGCATCATTGATGAACATGGTGAATCTTATGCAGATGTGAAAGTGCGGATCGGAAAAGCAAGAGCAGTATATTTACAACTGAGGAACGTCTGGAACTCAAAATAACTGTCAGGATTTTCAATACAAATGTCAAGACAGTTCTACTGTATTGGGTGGAAACCTGGAAAACTACGAAAACCATTATCCAAAGAATACAAATGTTTATTAACAGTTATCTACGCAAAATACTTCGGATCCGTTTACGAGACACTATCAACAACAACCTACTATGGGAGAGAACAAACCAGACCTCAGTGGAAGAACAAATTAGGAAGAAGCGCTGGAAGTGGATAGGATACACATTGAGGAAAGCACCCAACTGCGTCACAAGACAAGCCCTCACATGGAATCCTCAAGGCCAAAGGAAGAGGAGGCGGAGGAGAGGAAGACCAAAGAACACATTACACCGGGAAATGGAGATAGACATGAGAAAAATGAACAAGAATTGGATGGAATTAGAAAAGAAGGCCCAGGACAGAGTGGGTTGGAGAATGCTGGTTGTTGGCCTATGCTCCATTAGGAGTAACAGGCGTAAATAAGTAAGTAAGTAGTATTATAATATTTTCTATTACGTCATCTTTGCCATTCATGTTCACATTTCTTCATGGAGTTAGGATTTTAACAAAAACGATTGTACAGCTTGATAATAAATTCGTTGAAAAAAGAGATCCTTTCATTGAACTTCGTGTTTTTAATTTTTAATTTTTAAATGGGAATTATCTGTCAGCTTCATAGATATTTGTAAATATTATAATTTCAATAGTTGAAATCATGGGTCAATTGAAGCTAGACTACTAGAGAAAACATGCAAGGAGTGGACGGCCGTTTCATCCTATTGTAGGACTCCTCAGCAGTTCGCATCCACGATCTCACGTCGTGAGATTCACTCATGATTTAAATTATTGAAATTTCTAAAATCTTTACAAAACCCCTTCTGAAAATTCATTTGATATTGTTTTACTTGAATCCTGCCATTGATGTTTTAGGACTGAAATTGATCAGTCTCTTATTGACATATGTGCATACTGTGCGTATGCCTCGATATTGCCTTAATTTACAGGCATTATAAGCAAAGATAGATAGTGGCTAGCAGTGGAATCCAGGACGTGCGTTTCGTCCTGTTTGGGACTCGTCAGCTGGATGTACCTGCATCTCAGAGTTGATGTTCACTCTGGGACTCGAACTCAGTATCGTTTGCTTCAAACGCCATTGCGTTATCCATTTAGCTACTGAGTCCTGATAGCCACTTGCTTGTGCAATGGGGCGAAATTTTAAATTCACTTGGTATTGTTTACTTGTATCTTCCCATTAGTATTTAGAAATGCAATTGATCAGTCTCTTATTGGCATATGTGCATACTGTGAGTAATGCCTTGATATTGCCTTAATTCACAAGCATTCTAAGTAAAAATGGATGATGTCTAGCAATGGAATCTAATTTTACGCACGTTTCGTTCTATTTGGGTTTCGTCAACTGGATGTGCCTGCATCTCAGAGTTGGTGTTCACTCTGGGACTCGAACTCAGTACCATATATCCACAGTATGAACATATGCCAATAAGATACTGACCATTTGCAGTCCTAAACACCAATGGGAAGATTCAAGTAAACAATACCAAGTGAAGATAACCTAACTTGTTGGGTAATTAATTATATAAATCAATGTGAAACTGAAACAGTCTAAAGATTCACAGTAATATGATAGCTATCTGCACTTGTGATAACTGTACTGACATAATAAAAAATAGTTCTTATTTAAAAGTCATGTGGGTACTTTAACTGACTAATTTTGCAAAAAGATTTATTGAAGGTAAAGAGTTTAGTGCTTAAGGAAGTAACTTTTTAGTTTTTCTCCAATGTTTATACATTGACCAATGTTTTAAATAAATAAGCAACGTTATCTGAGACCTGAAATGCTATCTGGTTTTGCAATTGACATGTAGTAAACTAAGGTTGTAAATTATACGCATAATCTTGCTACTATTGAATTTATCTATGCCTACATTTCGGATCATGTGTAGAGGCTAATTTCCCCTATATCTGACTCAAATAAATAGTATCCCGTTAACTGAGTATTTAATGCAGGCTAAATCTCCTAGTAGAATTATGGATTTACTCGAGATTATTCAAAAGCCTGAACACCAATTATAGAGATAATTTGTTGTTATAGATTGGCAAAATCCGCAGGCATATAAGAAGCAAGCACACAGGGAAACCATTTGTGTGTATGTGTTAAAAATCCATATATACTTTATGAGTGTTAATCAAATATGGATAAATTATTGATTGTCCGTGTATTACAATCGATGGGAGAATAGATTGAAAATTGATGTGCAGAAATGTGCTCAATTATACTCACACAGAAATTTACATAGTGGATCAAGTGTCTAAACTACAGTAAGCAGATAAATAATACAGTAGTTGAATGAGCTTGCTACATATGTGTTTAAATTTTAACCAAACCTTTATTGCATTATATTTTAATGTGAAGAAATACCTTTTTGGATATCAAAGTACATGAATATGATTCTGCTAGGAATACAATCTAGAACCGATAAACTGAACGATGATGACAATACATCTTTACTCAAGACAACCTAAAAAATTTCAGGCAAATTTAAGTATGACATTATATTTGGGTGGACCTTAATCATTATAACAATTAAAATGTAGATTAACTAAAATTCTGAATACCAAAACCTGATCAATAATGATACAAGTAAAAACTAAAGAGATCTCTATTACCTGGATATGATTAAAAAAGTTAAGGGAATGTAACAGTAAAACCAGGTGGAAACATGCTAACAAAAAGTCTACTGTCATGATAGGTTTTATTTTCCTGGAACAAATACACACACTTCAAAAAGTGTGAAAAAAACTGTGACATTAAGAAGATCGTATAGGTATCAGTAAACAATCTTCAGTAAACTTAAAATAAAATGCATTCTGTCGTTGACATGATAAATTATTATGTTTTTCACAGACTGAAATCACGAGTCAGTTGAAGCTAGACCACCATGGAAAACCTGGAAGCACTGGACGGCCGTTTCGTCCTATTGTGGGACTCCTCAGCAGTGTGCATCCACGATCCCGCACCCAGTGGGATTCGAACCCAGGACCTACTGACTCATGATTTCAATCTGTGAAAATTTCTAAAATCTCCACAAAACCCCTTCTAAAAATTATTATCTACCGAAAACTCTATTTTGATAAAAGTCACTACTAATTGTTGTTACATTGTAAAATGACATGTTTAAGATCTTTTTTAGTTATTATAGAGAAATGAGGCAAAGTAATAGAATTTTTAAAATTCTAAAGCAGAACTAATTGAAAATGTGATATTTGAGAGTATAAAAGTATGAGTAAATCAAATAGATACTGAATTGATTTTACAATAATGAATGTTAAAAGAATAATATATTAGTATTAGAAGGGGTTTTGTGGAGATTTTAGTAATTTCAATAGTTGAGATCATGAGTCAATTGAAACTAGATCACCATGCAAAACCTGGACTCATTGGACGGTCATCCAGTGACTCATTGACTCATGATTTTAACTATTGAAATGACTAAAATCTCCACAAAACCCCTTCTGATACTGATCAGCATATACCCACTGGCGACTGGCTTCAAGATGTATATCCTGGAGTTCTAGTGAGAAGTCATGACCAGTGGAGTTAATCCGTGTCCAGTAGAGACAGATATCTACCTCAGTACAATGGAAGATGGTTGCAAAATTTTGTGGAGTGGTTGATGTTAGACATTAACACCGTTGGATGTCGGCCGGCCCAGCGGTCTGGTGGTTAAGTGCTGGCGGACGGGACCAGTAGGCCCTGGGTCCGAATCCCGCAAGGCAGGGTCGTAGATGCGTGTTGATGGGGAGTCCCACAATAGGACGAAACGGCCGTCCAATGCTTCCAGGTTTCCCATGTTAGTCTAGCTTCAGCTGACCTATGATCTCAACTATTGAAATTACTAATATATTGAACGAAGAATATTCTTTTTTGATAAATCCCCTTCAGGTTCTACAATTTGTGTATCCAAATTAATAATCCGATAAATGGTCAAGTTAAGGGTAAAGTACATCGTTTAATCAATAGTAATCTTAGCAATTGAATGACCTAATTTGAATATTGTACATACGATCTTTCGTGGTCAAATGTAATTGTCTCTCCACAAATATTATTATTATTACTATTGGTTAATCTTCCCCCATACATGATTCATTCACTTCGCATTCATCCCTCCTTACTAATTTTTCACACAATATAGCCGTCCACTAAACATTTGACTGAATTGTAATTGTACTATTATTTCTCTCACCCCACCTGACCCATATTTATTCTGACCATGGATCTTAATATTTTCACTTAACATATATGGAGATTCAAATTAACATTGTACATGAGTCATATTTTGGACGCCAGCTACATGTACCTGCATCTCAGAGTTGATGTTCACTTCGGGACTCGAACCCAGTACCGTTCGCTTCAAATGCAATTGCGCTAATCACTTAGCTACTTAGTCCTGATAGCCACTTGCTTGTGCAATCGAGTGAAGTTATATTCACATATGCCAACAAAAGACTGAATAATTGCAGTCCTAAATAACAATGGGAAGATGCAAATAAAACCACACTAAGTGAATTTATTACATTTTGTTTAACAATCCTAAATTCACATGCTTTAAACGATGTAGTTTACCCTTAACCTGACCATTTTACGGATTATAAATTTGGATATATTGAATTCTAGAACCTGAAGAGAATTTATCAAAAAGAACCTTCTTCGTTCAATGTATTAGTCTTTTAATATGATGTGGATCTTTAAACGAATAATGAATATCTTTTAAATCAATAATTATTACCAATATATAGTGAATGAAATTTCTTCTTCTCACTTACGTATACACACAGGCTGTTATCTTAACACTTTTCGTTTCATACCACATGTATCTTACACGCTAATGTAAATATCTACTTTAAACATTGTTAACGTTGATTAGATGACTTATTCAGTATACAGTAAACCGGAGAACCATGTACCTATTTATATTCGATAATTTTGTTGTTTGATTATATTTTCCTTGAAAAACCTTGAACCAGACTGCCAGGCGAAAAGTTAGATTTATTTCAAATTCATTCGCTGAGATTTTACAAATACAACATTCTACCTCTTTAATGTCTCACATTAACCCGGCGCTCAAATATTGTGGAACTATTCGATCAAATTTCGACGAAAGTTCTTATTTGCCATCACGTCATTTTACTAAAATATTTCTATATACGTATCTGTCATTAAATCTGTGTTGTTACTTTAGTGAATTGTAATATATTTTGTTTTTCTATGCTGATCATAACCGGGTATATATTCCTAATTCAGCTACTTTTATTAAGTTTCACTCTCTGGTAGAAAAGAAATACTAAGCATATGACTAAATGAAGAATTAAAGATGATTATTAGTATGGGGTTGTGGAGATTATTGAGTTTTTAATTGAGATCATGAATCGATTGGTGTTAGACCACCTTTGAAAAGCTGGAACCAATGGACGGCTGTTTCGTCCTATTGTGAAACTCCTCTGCAGTGTCCATCCACGATCTCGCTCTCGGGATTCGAACCCAGGATCTTCGGTCGTAATAAAAAACTTAATAATCTCCACAGCCCCATATGGATAACCACTACGTGCTGACTAGTGACTAGCTTCGTGAGAGAATTCCTGGAGTTCTAGTGAGAAGCCATGACCAGTGGAGTTAATCCGTGTCGAGTAGAGACAGGTATCTACCTCAGTACAATGGAAGATGGTTGCACAATTTCGTGGATTGGTTGATGTTAGCCATTAACACCGTTGGATGTCGGCCAGGTCAGTGGTTTAGAGGTTAGGCGTTTGCGCACGAAGATCCTGAGTTCTAATCCTGCGTGCGAGCTCATGGATTCGCACTGCTACCTATATATATATATATATATATATATATATATATATATATATATATATATATATATATATCGAATATTCTTATTCTGTCATCCAAATGATATGGAAATGAAGTTTGTTGATAACCATTATTTGTTCCCAAATGCCTAGTATTCAAATAGATTAAACGTTACAGTATTACTCTATCAATGTTACAGATTGTCTACTTCATTTAAATACATCTCTTACTAACGGACACTACATATTCTTCTCAGTACTGGCTTACATTATGTTGCATAACTAATCAACCAGATAGTATTTTCCTTTTGAGAAAGAGAAGAAGAGGGTTAGAAAACCCTTATTCCAAATCAGTGATGTACATGGGCTCCAGAATCATGAGGGAACAAATGGCGTATGAACCTATTGTTGGTCAACGGTTACCATGCAACTTAGCCCCGTAAACTTGCTCCACTGTTTTATGGATTAGACCTTCAGGTCAAGGGCTTGGTGTGTGACCTCCTAAGAAAACCACCTGTTTTGGGTTTTGACACCTGAGCGGTACTCCAGCCTTGAAACAAATGTAATGATGAAATGTGGCGCATATATATTTGGTGCTTCCTTGCACTTTGATTGTAATCAAAGAATTTTGATTTCATTTTTTATTTTAAGGATCACATAGTTGATGCCTGTACATAACAGAAATATCTATGAAGTTTCAAAATTTATTTTAAATATCATTAATTATAAATTTCATTTTAGTGTATCAATTCATTACGGATTAATATAAAACAATAGAAAATGTGTACTGTTGTATTGAGGCTTACATTATTATTGATTAATTCCTTAGTTGGAGTAAGTAAACAGTTCTCCTTATTCTATTCATTATTTTATCCTTAATTTTTATTATATTTTGTGTATATTGAATGAAAAATAAGGTTTCATTACAGAAATATAAGAGGATAATTTAATAGAGGAAAAATTAGCATGTATGTAGATGTGAATATTTCTCTTTCTGGTGATAAGATTTGCGGATTGAACTCTATATTCATCTCCTAAGCTATTCTGTAACCCCCAAGCTAGAACTATAAAGCGACCTGAACACGAGAGAAGACTCAATGGATACGAGAAGTAGTTTACTCCAAAGTTCATTTTAATACAGAAAATACAGGGATTTATAATATTTTAAATGTCCTTAAGTTGCTAGAAGATTTTGGGATGCTACTAAACACAGTAGCAGTGTAGCAGCCAACCAATCAGAGCCTATGTATGTCACGTTTTGCTTCCTTGATATCTTTGATTATGACTTCAAATGAACGCTGATTGGATGAAACACTTCTTAGTGTTTCCTGATGCTTGCTTGTCTTTTGCAAGCAATTTTATGGATCACCCCAACACTGGTCAGCGTTTTCTTAACGAGTTAGTTTTCTACGGGGTGGGGTCATTAACCTCATACCCAACCCTCGTTTATCCGGGCTTGGGACCGGCAGTAGCCCTAGAAGGGCTCCATACGGAGCCGCGGATTGGCAAAGCAAGAGCAGCATATCTAAAACTGAAGAACATCTTGAACTTAAAACAACTGTCAACCAACATCAAGGTCAGAATTTTCAATACAAATGTCAAGACAGTTCTACTGTATGGGACAGAAATTCGGAGAACTACAAAAGCCATCATTCAGAACATACAAGTGCTTATTAACAGTTGTCTACGCAAAATACTTCGGATCCGTTTACGAGACACTATCAACAACAACCTATTGTAGGAGAGAACAAATCAGATCCCAATGGAGGAATAAATCGGGAAGAAGCTCTGGATGTGGATAGGACACACCGAACTGTGTCACAAGACAAGCCCTCACATGGAATCCTTAAGATCAAAAGATTACGTTACGCCGGGAAATGGTGATAGACATGAGTAAAATAAACAATAATTGGATGGAACTAGTAAAGAAGGACCAGGTTAGAGAATGCTAGTCGGCGGCCTATGCTCCATTAGGAGCAACAGGCATAAGGAAGTAATTAATTAGGTGTGAATACGATTATACAGTTGACATTTGAATCAACTAAACTTGTTAGCATGTATGTTGCTAAAAAGAGGTCATAGAATGTAATGGGTTCATTATATTCTATAAACACTTTGACTAATAAATATTCAAGTTCCAGTTTTCTGAAGCGATCGTTATCAAGCTATATTAATATAATTTTTATGTTCTAAAGCAGATAGTTGTTTATCTCTTCTTGCATTGATGACACAATCATGTCTACATTACGTCATAAAATTTTATTCAATTCTCGCCTAATTACATTATTGTATCCTTTGATTATAATTATTTTCTAGATTAGTAACTTTATTGTAACTAATGGAGCTTCGCTTACATTATTCTTATTTATTATCAACGTTTTTTAATATTACGTAATCATTTGTTTCTAGCCCTTTGATTTTTTGTCATTACCGATGTTGTAAAGCGTTCTTTCGTATAAGATATATTTTATTCAGTCTATTAAATTTATTTGAATCTTTTCTGTGTAATCATAGTAATTTCCAACTAAACTGTTTGATATACGTAATATATGATGTGGTGGCCTGCTTGAACATCTGTGCTACCTATTCCTGCCATCTAAATATTTCAATAAGTTATCTAGTTTTGTTTTAATACATCATTATAGGTATTAATCGTATAACCAATTCAGGTGTGTTTCTGAAAAATGTACAACCTTTCGTTGTACAAGTTAAAAAAGGCTCAATCATAGATATCAAGGTTGCTGGTAATATGCATTGAAAAGAATGAACATTAATCAAATGTCGATTCCTGAACTGCTAACATCAAACTGGCGACCACTTCATATTTATCGTAAGGATCGATCAAGAAATTATGAATTATAGTTTTTGAAAAAAATTTATATATCCTTAATTCCCCTAAGTGTTACCTCTCTTTGTGTCAACTTAATTGTACCAGTAAATTGGTATATATATGTGTCGACTCATAATTTATTTTCTTTAAAAATACTTAGCTATCAGCATTAATAGTTTCATCGTTTGGTGCAATTTTAACTTGGGGCAAAGATACTATAACAAAAGAATTGGATGATGTAATTGGTCCAATGATTAAGAAAATGTATGGTGAAGAAATAGCGCAAGATTTCACAGATATGGCATCTGGTATCTTACAATTAACAAGTAATCTATACACGCTGTTTTATTTTTCCGTTTTTTTTTTGTTTTTGTATAAGCTAGATGTTTATAACGATTGAATACTTGAGGTATATGGTCATCGTCAATTGTTATTAGCGAGAACGGGCAAGACTAATTTATGGATGAGCCAGTCAGAAGCGTTTGATAGATTTCAAGGTCACGGTGCCAACTTCAGTGCTTAATGCTAACGTACAATCGGTTCACAGGGAATTTTGTACAAAACATGATAATTGAGCGGCTATAACAAATAAAACGGCGAGACTATAATTTGTGGACGAATCGATCAGGGATAAGATGACAGGTCTCGGATTTTAACGCGAAAGCCTTTCATCCATTTGGTTAAAGAAATCTCTGGTATTATGGCTGATGTCAGTTCTTTACGAAAAACCCATATATGATTCCTAAAAGGCGAATTACGACAATTATCGCGAACCGGATAATTAAAGCACTAGTAACACTGGTTGCGGCCAGGTACTACAATATATACGGATGGGCGTATAGCGAGAGAGAGAGAGGGAGCGTAGAGACTCCTACATAGGCTTGGTTATGTGCATCGTGTCGTTATCCACAAGTGACATTTTGTGGACTGAACAACTGGAGAGCACAAAAACAATATTGAAGCTATGTGTTCGAAGCTGAAAGAGTTTTTGAGACTTTATCATGGCTCCGGAGACCAGCTATTCTGTAGCCATATAGATGATTTCTTCTACTACATGCATTACGACTTTAGAACCTCTGAATCTCTTTCTAACCTTGACAAGTTTTTGAACCACGAATAAGAAGTGTATCCACTCTCTTTCGTCGGTTTTGTATAATATATTTTTACTCTATACTTACTGTTTGCTGATTGGCTAATATTTCTCAATGTCACCTAAGAGTCGCTCAAAGGTCGTCCATAAATTATAGTCTCGCCGCGAGACAGTCTTGAAGCATAAAATCTAACTTGATAATATAACATTTATATGTTCTTAATTTATTATGAATAAATCTATAAAGGTTTAGTACTGAAATTCAAAGGGGAATATTAAGAATGAGGGAAAAGTAAAATATTTGCCCGTTTGTAAGTTGTTCATTGTTGAATTATTTTCCTTTTAATTCCCCTTATTATTACTAGTTCTAATGTGAACATAGTTGATAGATTTTTACTAATGGTGGAATATTCTCTAGGCCAAAGTAATCTTCAGTGGATGCACATATTTCATATTAAGACTAATCGAAATTTAGTCAAGAATCTTAACAACAGAATAATCTAGACCATCACAAATTAGATGAAATTCATACTTAGATACACAAGCTAGTATCTATCAGGATTCAATAGCTCAGTGGATAACGCGTTGAGCATTCGGATCGTAATGTGTTACATTAAAGTCCTGGTGTATGCATGAGCACTGGTTTGAAGATGTATTATCTATCTGACAAATCCAAAATATGATGGAACACGTATCCTGAATTTCAATACTAACCACAATCCATCTAATCTATATCATTGCTAATATTTATAGTACAATTTACTGTTAATCGGAGTGAACATCAACTCTGAGATGGCAGGTACATCCAGCTGAAGAGTTACAAATAAGACGAAACGCGTGTATTAGATTTCACTGCTAGCCATTATCCTTCTTTGCTTAAAACGCTTGTCACTTAAGGCTATATCGAGGCCATCCTCACAGGATGCACATATGCCAACATGAGACTGATTGTAATGTGTGATCGATAATGTTATAACTCACCAATGATAAAGTGAAACGCCCACCACTACATTAACTTTCTTTGACCTTGTTTGACTATATCTTGTTTATTCATCAATCACAATTTTATTTTCATTATAAAACAATATTCGCCTTGTTGACTCATTTTTCCTATTCACTAGTTACTGTTCGATATGTTATTTATGTCTCTGTTTTTCCCTGTGTTCATAGACTGTACTGTTTGTTTTGTATACCAACAGTGTTAATTTATGTTTTAGAAACGTATAAAGTTTATCAAGCCAAATAGCTTACTTGTTCTGACTTTGGCTAAACCAAGACTCTGTGCTCGAGAGTCTAGAGAATAGCTAAGAGTTACACCTATAGGAAAGTGCTTCCCACACTGATCAATTTCAGTTCTAAATAGCAATGAGAAGATACAAGTAAAACAACACCAATTGAATTAATCATGAAGTTTCAAAAATTATGATACGGATGAGCATAAATTATGATGAATCAACTAAAAATAAATGTAGCATTTAGTCTAGCATAAATGGACAGTAATATGAAGTAGCAATATTGTAGCGACCAAGAACACGAGTGGGGACAATCAATTGTATTTGATACGACATTACAGAGCATCTCAATAAAATCTGAGAACCATATAGTAAATCGTTAATTTGCAAACTATCAATCCATCGTCTCAAAATTCACTCTTCCTTTTGCAAATATCGGTCTATTGCCTCACATTTCATTGTTCATGCATTTTCATACGAAATACGTTCCGTTTCCGTCCTTTCCTTATCAATCTTCTACTGAAATACATTCTATGCCTGACCACCGTTATATACTACTTATATGGATTAAGTAACCCACACCACAATATCGCTCCTTCATTAAGTACTAATTTATGTGCTCAGTTTTAACCGAATGGTTTTTTGCATTCAACGTGGTCATACAACAAAGTTATCTAAAACAATTCAAATGATGAATCGGTAACTAGGATACCTCTTTATATACATGTACAACTACATGTTATTAACTAACATTCATTTGTGTATTGCTCATATCTAAATGGTTGGTCACCAAAATTAGCTCAATTAAAACATACAAACTAACTAATGTTCTTAAAAAATTTTTTTTCACAGATTGTTTTATCAATGAAAATTAGTCTTTCATGATGTTTCCATTTTTTTCCAAACATTTTCAGGTCCATTCGGTTTCCTTTTATTCATATTAGGATTAGTTTCCTTGGCAATTTGTTTATTTGGTTTCTGTGGAGCATGTTGTAAGAGTATTCTTTGCCTTAAAGTGGTATGTTTGAAATTAATTAATTGAAAAAATATTTCTATTGTTTCTAATATGAAAATAACTGAATTCTGACTGAAATTCTTTTAAGCATAAGTCATCATTTCAAATATAGATTATAGAAAACTTTCAGAATTTAAAATCTTACAAAACAATCAAAGTTGGAATCATAAGTAATCAGTTTCATTGAAGTAAACACAAATGATGATCAATAAATACCAGAAGACTGTATTGATTTCCAGGAATTTAGGGTCACTTATATTGGTACTAGATTAAGCAAATGTTAGTTAAAGTCACTTCTAAAGTGATGAAATCAACAACAAACGGTTAGAATGAAATAAGAACAAATTGAAAGTGATCAGCTTAACATGGTCGAATGAATAAAAATAAGAGACAGTTATTCACCTCAGAAAACTGGATGCCAGCCCAACGGTCTAAAGGCAAATCGTTTGTATACAACATCGAAAGTCCTGGGTTCGAGCTCGGTGTGCGTGGTCGTGCTGGGTTGAAACAGCCGTCCAGTACTTCCAGGTTTTCAGTGGTGTTCCAGCTTAGATCGATTCATGAATTGAACTGTTAAAATATTACAATCTCCACAACTCCCCATACTGAAAAAAAATGGTGTGAATATGGAAATGTTGTGAAAATCTATTTGTTACTTATTAGTATTATGGTGAGATTATACAAATTTGGAGAAAGTATATTCTGGTGATACAGTTTATTGACAGTCGTAGATAATCATAGAGAAAAGGTGACATACGTTATTCGATGTGAATTACTTGGAAATGAGTAGAATCTAATGTTACTTGAAGTTTAAAATTTTTAAACGAAGTAATCAAAATATTTTTTTAACAAATGAACATACAATGTGAAACACCACAAATTACATTTAGTTCATAATTAACGATTGAGACTTGAACTTTCTTTATTCGACTTTCTTTAACAACATTGGTGGTTATTACCACTAGTAATTGTAGATTAGGGCAATACAGACATTCAGTGTTTTACTGTTTTGAATTATTCTTTTGCCTATAGATCTTAATGATGAAAATTGCTCTAAGCTAAAACTGTTATGAACGAGAACTTTGATGAGGAAGATCAACTTATTGTTTAATGCAAAATTATAGAGTGTCTTAGTGAAGTCCGAAAACCATACATTAAATACTTCATTAGCATATCTTCCATCAGTCATCGTTCTTTCATTCCTGTTCTTATTACAAGTACTATCTGTTTACATTTCTGTTTTCTTCAATTCGAACTTCTGAACCTTCTATTACCAGGCATTCCACTTCTGGTTAGTGTTACATACTACTTATATCTGTCAACATAAGTACCATACACCACATAACTAACCAATTGCACAGATACGAAATGTGTAACAAAATACATCTAATATTTCAACAACTTAATTGAATCAGACAGTAAGAAGAAAGAATTACTGTAATCAAAAAGGGGTTTTGTAGAGATTGTAGTAGTTTAATAATTAAATTCATGAGTTAATTGAAGCTAGACCACTATAGAAAAACTGGAAGCACTGGACGGCCGTTTCATCCTAGCATGGGACTTCGTGGCAGTGCGCACCGGTGATTCCGTCCCGTTTCGCGTGCGAACGCATAACCTCTAGATCACTGAGCCGACATCCAACAGTGTTAATGTCTAACACCAACCAATTTGCGAAATTGCGCCACAGTTCACCATTGTCATCAGTGAGTTACTACCTTACAACAGACCCGATTGAGCTCCAATGGTTAGGGCCTCTCACTGTATGATTATCTATTTCATTTTGAGCCAAACACTTTTATTGCTAAATATAATATCAGTTCAATATTCTACTTATTATTTAGTAAATGACAAATTTGACGATGATACTTATGCTTTTAGTTGTTAGACTTAAATCCATGGCTATAACATGTGGTAAGGCCCCCGAATGCCCTGGTACGGCCGAGAGTGTGGAGAGTTCACTCTCCTTCTCGAAATGCTCTCACATGGCCACGCGTATATAGCCTCTGCCAGGGAAGTCCCACTCACTGTCTTCTCGTGGCGGGGGTGTTGTTTACGGAATTGAGAGGATGAAAACCGAACGTCTGGAGCTTTAACCAGGTTGGTGGATATAGGGAGTCCACCTTGGGAAGTAGGAAAACCCTGATTCCAAACCAGTGGTGTACATAGGCTCCAGCATCCTGAAGGAACAAATGGTGTATGAAGCAATCGTTGGTCACCGGCTACTATGGGACTGAATCTCCTTACGATGCTACACTGCCTTGTAGATCAGACCTTCAGGTAGGAGAAGTGAACTAACGGTAAATTTATAATTTATATGAGCTTGTCTAATGGTATTTTCATTGCCTATGTGTTCGATTTTCTGATCTGGATGATTTAATCATGAAACTTTCATCTTCTTTCTGGACAACGTAATCGCTAGAAATGAATTAATTCACATACTATGAATTTAATGTTAAAAATTGTATGGCTAAAGATGTTTTCCTTCAGAAAACTCTATTTCCACGCATTTTAAGTATAGTTCAAGCTGTTCATTAAATACCCTTCTTTAATAAGAGCTTTACTAATTTGAAAAGTTTCTCTTGGAAAAAACATTGATAAATAACATTTTAATTACTTCAACTATAGCACGAATTAACAATAAGTGCAAAGATTATTGGAAATTAATAAAGTACTGAGTAACTCTATTTGATTTGAAACTTCTCAAGTTCACACATTACCATATACATGTAATCCAACTCCGGACTAAATAACTGTTATAAATTGTGGCCTGTGTGCCCTGTTAATATAGACATAATGATACTGCCAATTAGAGAGCAGGGAATTATAGATCGGACCAACGATGCATAAAACCCGTAAGAGCAGTCTAGAGTCCTTATTGGTCCCGCTCCGTGCCTATCTCAGCCAGTTAAGTCCAGAACGCCAATCCGAGCCTCTGCAATATGAATCATTCATGTCAAGCATACTGGGTTTATATACCAACCAGATAGACCACACCGTACCATAAAATAGGTAACAACATTTGTACAAGATTTAGCCAAATGTGGCTGTGAATATGGAAGGTAGTAATTAATAGACAGGAAATAATTCAAGAATGGCAAGTCGTATAATAATAGTTAATAGGTCAAAATAAAGCTCATAATAAGAGAAACATGAATAGTTTAGTTATTTGCCAATTATACGATAAAAATATACGCATAGTATTGGTCCACAAATGGATTCCAAAAGTTACTATTCATTATCTTTATCGGGACATAACTACAACTCATGCATTTAACCATGTCAATGAATCATGGTCAAGTAGACAACATGTTTTATTTCACTCCTCAATCAATGTTATTATTAATCACTTTCGATTATGGTTAAGTTTTATTAAACCCTTCTATTAACTTACTTAATAGACAATGTTATTCAAATAGTAACAATCCGCATATTTCTTTGTACTATTATGATCACTGTCTTGTCTGTATAAACGTGTAGGCTTGGTCACATGACAGACTCTAGCTAAAATGTTGATAGCTTAAATATCACGCGATGTTTCATCCTATTCCCAATGTATATATGTACTCGAACCTTATTATTAACCTTCGCCTTGCTTACATGTGCCTTATTAGATTCGACTATAAATTCGCCTCACTGCTTCATATTCGCTCGATTTGTTTGTAGCTTTGTTATCCGTTAATAAACTGTAGTTGCCTGTTCGTATTGCCTTCTGATTTTAAACACCAATGAGATTCATATAATAACGGTTATCGAGGTGATCGATTAACGAAGCTAAGCCACTACAAACTTCAGATGTAATTGACCATGCAGATCAAAAATTGTCTAACAAATAAAATATCCAAGATCCCATTCTTGAAATATTCACAAAAGATTGATCTTAAAACTTTCATTAAAAAAATATGCTTAATCAAATTCGGATATTTTGATAAAAGATAATTATGTTCTTTATTTTATAGTACATTGCATTACTTTTGGTACTGGTCATTATTGAGATTACTGCAATGAGTTTTTACTACACCGATCGTGAATCAGTAAGTTCAACTTTACTAATGTTCATTCATTAAACTGATGCGAAATACTTAAATACTTTAAGCATACCTGAAAAGACAAACTGATTATATCGTTTTTAATGATTTTACAGCAGTCAGTCAACTACAACATAGGACCAGGCACATATCTGCATCGGTCCAAGTTGCCACACCTCATTAGTACAACAAGATGAACACCAAATTCATCAATGTAGTCACTTCAATGGTTGTAATTTATAAAAGAAAGATTGCATATAAGGACATAGTACAGGAAGAAAGAATTGGTTGGTAGAAAGAAAGATATAAAGCAATTTTAATCTCACAGTTTAAGTGAAGCCATGTCACACAGTTTCCAACCATTGACTAAGATAGTCAGATGAACTTCAACCATGTAGTTTGCATCTACCAACATAGCTAAGACTAGAAGTTAGGGATTCCAAGCACCGATGCCCCTAAATTTATTCCATCCAACCCCAACACTAGTCAGCATTGCGCGTTGTGGTAGTCAGAGTTGAGGCATACGTAACACGTGGCCCAAACATCTTAGTCGATGAAGATTTACAACCTCACCTAATACCCTGCGTCTAACCTCACGATTACTTGCCCGGTTATCCCAGCAGATGCGAGCAATATTTTTAAGACATCTGTGATCAAATTACTAGTAGCTTTCCAGTATCTTCCGCTTTTGATAGTCATGTTTCGCGGCCGTAAAGTAGAACAAGACGGACTGCCGCATAGTTTACTCGTCCTTTAATTGATAAACAGATATCTTACCTTCGCTGTAGGTGATGTAATTTCGCAAAATTCAAAAGCTGTGTATTCATAAACAGATCTATCATAGTTTCATTATTTCGAAACACATAAATGAATGAAGAATATTATTTTCCATGAATTCTCTTCAAGTTCAACTGTCATAGATCCCATTCAAACACTAAAAAATAAACATGAAGTTTACCGAATCGATCTCCTTTAAAGGGATTCATTATCAAACTGTACAATTATATAGATATATCAATAGCATATAAATTGACGATTCTCCGATTCACTAACAATCCTGACTTTTTATGGGTTATAAATAAAACAAAGTATTTTCCTTAAATTAGGCCGTTTTTATTGAAGAATCCGAGGAGAAATTTTTCAGAAAGAAAAAAAATTATTTTTCTTCATATGGTGAGATGATAATTTATGAACGACCTTTGAGCGATGCTAAACTGATCTTGAGAGTGCCCACTTAATAACTAGGCGAAAATGAGGGTTATAAATTAGTGTGAGGAGTTCGAATTATAATTTACAGTTGATGGTTAAGGTTAGGAATTAGATTTTGGGTTTTCATCACAAACTGACATCATCTATAATTCCAAAACTCTATTTATCCATAATGCATGAGTGAATTTCGCGCCAAAATTCGAGACCTGTTATCTTATACGTGATTGGCTCGTCCATAAATTATAATCTCGCCATTAATACATTTACCTTAACAACTTAAAATTATTTTATATTTCTATTTTATAAAATTAGATATTCAAGTTAGCTAGAAAAATTGCTCATAACTCTCTGAGAAATTATCGTTCAATTGGTTCTAATAATACTGATAGTATAATATATTCAGTTATTATGCCAACTGTAAGTTTCTACTAAATGTATATTTGGTTTTAATGTAAATAGTCTATTAAAAATACAATTTTAAAGGTTTGTACTGCTAAACTTCAGTTAGTTGTAGTAATCTACTTCTATCCCGCACATCACGGGATTCGAACCCAGGACCTATCATTCTCGCACCAGGTGCTTAACTAACTAGACCACTGAGCTGGCATTCAATGGTGTTAATGTCTAACTTCAACCAATCCACTATGGGAAATGAAATATAGATTGACGAATAAGTAGTTTATCAATAGTCATTTTTATGAATCGATTTGTAAAAAAAGCACTGTAAACATTACTCCAATTAATGTAATCAATCAACTTTGTAATTATGATTCATTTATTCTAACAATATTTAAATTAGTTTTAAATAGCATAGAATGTAATCTTTTACAATCTTATTCCAGCTAAATTGTTGTGGATTATTGAATGGATCTGATTTTGATGATTCACCTAATTTTCAAAGAAAGGTACTTTTTAATGAACAAAATTTAGGTATGTTCATAATTAATGATCTGTAATATTAAATAAAAAATTTCTAAAAAAAACATATGTTACATAAGATCTGTGGTTAGTTTTGAAATAAACATTTAGTGATTAAGCGCTCGCGCCCGAGACTGATAGATCCTGAGTCCGAATCTCGCGAGGCAGGATCTTGGATGCAGACTGCTAGTCGGGAGTCCCACAATAGAACGAGAAGTCCGTCCAGTGCTCCCAGGTTTTTCATGGTCGTCTAGCTTCAATTGAAATAAACATTTGTTAAATATATTGAATTTCAAACGATGGAATTGAGTTGTTCAACAAAGTCTTAATAATGATGGCCGTAAGCTGAATTTCATGTTAAGATGGTGGAGATTTATAGTGGATGATTTTGACGGAGTTTCCTTCTCTGAGTTGTATGGTTTGGTCATGGAGTTTTCATCATTTTTCTGAACAACTTCATCAGCGTCAACTTCATGTATAAGTTAAATATCCCAATTTTATATAGATTTCGTTTGGGAAAAAATTATCCTTGACTGATTATTTTTGCGTTTGGAGTTGAAAGTTACTATTGAATGGCACAGAATTTATTTCACAGTCTGAATGATGCTTATGAAGTATCAGTAAAATATGTCAAAGACAAATAATCTTGAATACACGTTTCACCCTGTTTTGAATTTATCCATCAGTTAGTGTGCTGTCACCTATTTGGTGATATTTATAATGCAACCGGACTTCAGTAAATATTTCTTCAAACTTCATACTGTTATCTTCTAGACTACTGGGTTATGATAGTCAAGACCATTATAAATTCATGAGTGTCCATTTTTGTGGTTATTGCTCACTAACAAGGGGTTCATTTAAGTGACCTGTATACAAAGGTAGATTTATTACTATATGGCCTAATGTAAATGACAGTTTTATGCAAACCTTAAATAACATGATGATTTGAAATGTTCCTAAGTGATAAGATTTCGTTTCACAAGCAGTATGATATACGTCAGAGTCTAACGGCTAAATTAAGGCTAAAATCCGGGAGTTCAATCAATAATGTCATAGAGTCAACACTGTATAGCGTTACAAGTGTGTAACATTGGGAAATAGTAAACTAGGACACCTACTTATCAATGGCCTTCTAGCTTATGTGAGTTTATGCAGAAAATTCACTTCAAACTATTAGAAAATTTCCGGTAAACTACTAATATTACATCATTAAAATATTTTACTACCCTGTACGTTAATTTTAGATTTCAAATAATGAAACATTCCAAATGTTATGAATATATATTTTTCTAAAACCTAACTGCCCGAAATTGTTAACTAAGAGCGATAAATATAAAAACAATAAATTGTGTCATGATGAAAGGTGGCTAGCAATGGAATTCAGGACTCACGTTTCGTCTTATTCTGGATTCGTCAGTCAGATGTACTTGCATCATGGAGTTGATGTTCACCCCAGGATTCAAACTCAGTACCGTTTGCTTCAAATGACATCGCGTTATCCACTTACAGGAAGATTGAAACAAACAATACAAAATGAATAAATTGTGTTCTTTGAATTATTCAGTAAAGCAATTCACTATGCAAACTCTCAGTCTTATTTTCATATAGCTTCATATTGAAACTGTAGGAAGAAATAAATATTTAAAACGAATTAACTGTTTGATATAATTTCTTTTTGACAATAATAGATTTGAAATATCCTATTCCATGTTGTAAAATGGACGCTAAATTTGTCGTTCTTGATCCAACATGTCCGGGAGAATTTAACATTAAGAATTCAAATATTCATGAAGGTTGTTGGGTGAAACTACGACAGATAATTGGCTTCTATGGTGGAATGATTGTGATTTGTGGATTAGTTGTAATTTTATTCCAAGTGAGTATCTAATTGTATGATGAACAAGATAAGGCATTTTAATCACCGTTTTAAACTGTAGTTATAATAAGAATAATGGATTAGTGACAAGTGATATTAATTATGTCTTTTGTCTAATTTGGTAACTATGATTTCTAGAATCTCAAACGTTTTCTGCCCTCTCATTGAGATTTCAACAAGTTGCTACTTTGTCCTTTCGATTGAACATTGACGAAGTGGCATAGTAAAGAGTAGAAAATTGGGTAATTAGCATTTTTGTGTAAAAAACTTTTCATTATAAAATGAAATCATTTGGAGAAGCATTTATAAACACAGAGAAGTGGAGAGTTGGAAGCAGTCAACTGGAAACCCTAGGTCTAGGTTTCGTGCTAATTGACACTCGTCAGCAAGGCTCACCTGTGATCTTGAAGGAACTGGTGCTCCCTGACGGATTTGATCCCGTGTCACCCAGCTTCACAGTCAGAGACGTTAACACTGAGCTATCTGTCTCTGACTGTGAAGCTGGGTGACACAGGACCGAATCCGTCAGGGAGCACCAGTTCCTTCAAGATCACAGGTGAACCTTGCTGATGAGTGCCAAGTAGCACGAAACCTAGGTTCAGGGTTTCGTGTTGACTGCCTCCAACCACCACCTTATTACAACATAGTTATGCAATGTCGAGTCACCTAGACTAGTGACCATATTGCAACTCGGTCGATAGTATTCGATGTGCAATAATAAGGACCTGACATACGTGACATTGATTACCACGCAGTAATCAATCAATTGTAAAGCTATTTTACTAGTTCAATAATCCTGAATAGTGAACGATGATATATTTGGATGACATCCAAATCAAATCATTTCAATCTTCAAATAAGTACCATATCAGTCAATGAGAATACAATATTTTACTATTGAAGACTTTGATTAACTTGTGGTTTATACTTCCTCTATCAGTCATTGTCATCAATGAACGTCTATCTCAACTTCGATTAGATCGAATACTACCTAAAATTTCAATCTATTAGTTATTGAGCGCGTAATTTATGAACACATAAAAATATCATCTATATGTGACAAGAATTGAACTGGCTGAAAATCTTTAATGATAAATGTATGGCCTTATTAAAATACATCGAACATTCATCTTAGTGCGATTCAGTTAAAACTGTGAGATGCATACGAAAATCAACATTATTATTTTTATGGTGCATCACATTTGAGTAGTGGTAATAATAATAATAAACTTTTAATGGTTTAAATATCTGAGAAGCTAAAAGTCCTGAAAACATAATGAAATAGATTATAATGTTTAGTCATATCTTGTTAATAATACCAGTGCACGGTTGTGTAAAATCTACAACGTATAGACAATTACGGCGATCAAACTTCATCTTAAAGTTCTTTCTGTTTTAAAGATTTCAAAACAAAGAAATATTAGTAGATTATAAAGCATTTGATAAAAAAATATTTAGAGGTCAGCATTTCTGTTAGCAGAAAGATCACAGTCGATTGAATAGTCCTGGATCAAACTCCTAACCATATTTCTTTAGTTTAAATCAAGTAAGAAAAAATGTGTTCTCTTGTAAGTGTAGAAATAGAATCCTAGATATTGATAAAGTCTGTTAGTTCCAAAGAGTAAGTTTACTGACTGATGCACGTTGAAGCAATCAAACGTGAGATTTTCCATCCTTACAGATAACACTTTTTAGTAAGACTATAATTTATGGACGACCTTTGAGCAACACCTTAGTGACATTGAGAATGTCCACCTACTGACCTGTTATCATAAATCTGATTGGTTCGTCAATGAATTATAGTCTCGCCGAGAAGTTCATAGTTTATATTAAATAAAATATGTTCATTTGTATGTTGTTCATTGCATATCATGATAATGAAATAATTGAATAATGAAAATCATTGATAAGAATTGCCAAACATTCTTCTGGTCAGTCAGTATTTCTGTTAATGGTAGTATTAATAATAATAATAATAATAATAATAATAATAATAATAATAATAATAAAGTCTAGTTTTCCCTGACTTCATTCATTGCAAATTATGTTTTAATCTTCACCCACTGTGATATAGATTATTTCTGATTGTTGAAACAAGCAAGTTGTTTTGATGAACTTTATTGTTTTTTTGGGGGGGGGAGATGAAGAACATTTTCACATAGTTATTTACTTGTTAAACATTTAAAACAAAAGAATCATATTTTTAATCAGAGGTCATTATTACAGACTAGTAAATAAGAATGTATAGATCATGGGTGGACACTATTGAAAAGTGTCATACTGAAATGAAACACCAACTAATACATCAATTGTTATTGTCGTTTTCCTATGGCTATTGTATTATTATAAAATTATTCCTTATGGTATCAGTTAATGAATTCTGACATTATAGTTTGTGTTTGAATGCAATAATAAACATTTGAAATTCCAGAATCGGAAAAAAATCCAGTATCACTATGCATTTAAGTGATTGAGTTAAGAAGTTACACATATTCAAGTGTTTGATTTTTTTTCTATCTGAAGTTTGTGCTGATAATGTCGTTGAGATGAATGATGAAAGCTCCACGATCAAACCATGCAGCTCAGAGAACAAAACTCCATCAAAATCATCCACGTGAGGTACAAATCTTAATAGATAGTGGGAAAACGATTAACAACAGCCGAACACGAACAGAGAAAGTCCAAGCACAAGCTGAATACATAGAAGTAAACAAACAAGTGAAGAAAAGCATTAGAGCCGACAAGAAGAAATACGTGGAAGAACTCGTAACGACGGCGGAAAAAGCTGCAAAAGAAAGAAATATGAAACAACTTTATGATATAATGAAGAAACTAGCAGGGAAATGCAGTAAATCAGAGAGGCCGGTCAAAGACAAAGAAGGCAAGCCAATCACTGAAATTCAACAACAGCGGAACAGATGGGTAAAATACTTCGAGGAACTCCTGAATAGGCCGGCTAAAATGAATCCACCGGACATCGAAGCAACGCACACAGATCTTCCTATAAATGTCCATCCACCAACGGCGAATAAAATCAGAATAGCCGTCAGAAAAATCAAGAACGGGAAAGCAGCAGGACCCAACAACATACCAGCTGAAGTCAGACTTCGAAGTAACTACAACCATGCTTTACCTTCAATTGAAAAAGATTTGGGAGGAGGAACAAGTGCCGATGGACTGGAAAGAAGGGCACTTCATAAAGATTCCAAAGAAATGAGATCTAAGCAAATGTGAAAACTACAGAGGCATTACACTACTGTCAGTATCAGGAAAAGTCTTTATCAGAGTTTTGCTGAACAGGATGAAAGATGCAGTAGACGCCCAACTTCGAGATCAACAAGCTGGACTACAGTGCAAGGTCGTGCATGGAGGACAGCTGACAGATGTAATCCAAGTAAGAACCAGAATCAGACAAGGCTATTTATAATCTCTCTCTCCCTCTTTCTACTGGTGGTCTACTGGATTATGAAGACCTCGACATCTGAGGGAAAACACGGCATACAATGGACAGCTCAGAACCAATTAGACGATTTGGACTTCGCAGATGACCTAGCCCTCCTATCACGTACACACGAACAGATGCAGATAAAGACAGCCAGTGTAGCAGCAGTCTCTGCATCAGTAGGCCTCGACATACACAAGGGGAAAACCAAAGTCCTCAAATTCAAAACGGAGAACAGCAATCCAATCAATATTGATGGCGAAACTTTGGAAAATGTGGAATCCTTCACATACCTGGAAAGCATCATCGATGAACAAGGAGGTTCAGATGAAAACGGAAAGGCGAGAATCGGCAAAGCAATGGCCGCATTCCTATAAATGAAGAACATATGGAACTCAAAACAACTTTCAACCAATATCAAAGTGAGAATCTTCAATACCAACGTCAAGGCAGTTCTACTGTACAGAGCTGAAACTTGGAGAACTACAACAACCATCATCAAGAGGGTGCAAGTATTTATAAATAGCTGTCTACGCAAGATACTCAACATCCATTGGCCGGATACCATCAGCAACACCATGCTGTAGGAGAGAACATACCAGCTGAAGAAGAAATTAGAAAAAGACGATGGAAATGGATAGGACATACACTACGCAAATCGTCAAACTGCATCATGAGGCAAGCCCTAACTTGGAATCCTGAAGGGAAACGGAAAAGAGGAAGACCAAAGAACACATTACGTCGGGAAATAGAACCAGATATTTGAAGGATGAATAAGAAGTGTAGGGAGGTGGAAAGGATTGCCCAGGACAGGGTTGGATGGCGAATGCTGGTGAGCGGCCTATGCTCCTTCACGAGGATTAACAGGCGTAAGTATGTAAGTAAAGGAAAACATCGACAAATACACATAGAATAAATCTGAAATCATTGTCGTTTATTATATATGTATTACTTTTTATCTTCTGAATATGAAAACTTAGATAATTTACTTACAAGATTACATGGAAATTTATGTGTCATAATTTGTTTATCAGAATACAAACATAGCAAACCACCTACTGAATATTTGAGATTCAATAAGCAAAATGTAGAAAATTAGTTCAGCATTCCATTTTGAATGCTCAATTATTGTTCAATAGTCACAATTGTCCGTTGTGTTTTAAATTATCTATTAGAAATAGTTTCATTTTCAGCTCTTTAAAACAATAAATTATTTATGAGCATAAGATTGTGGAGAATGTTGAGTTTTTATCAAGATTATGAACTGATCAGTGTTAAACCACCATTGAAAACCTGGAAGCAATGGACGGTTTTTTCGTATCAGTGGAGAACTCCATAGCAATGTGCATCCATAATCCCTCACCAAGACTAGCCAAACCCAGGATTTTCATTCTTGCACACGAACGCTTAACCTGTAGACTACATTGTCGGCATCCAACCGTGTCAACGTCTAACTTCAAGTTGGATATTGAGTTAGAGTGCCGACTCCGCAGTCTACAAGTTAAGCGTTCGTGCGCAAGAATGAAAATTCTGGGTTCGATTACTTTTGATAAGTTTTTGTGGATGCTCACTTCTGAGAAGTGCCATACTAGGAAGAAATAGCCGTCCAGTGCATCCAAGTTTTCGATAGTGGTCTAACACTTGTGGGTTCTTGATCTCAATAAATCTTTACTTTCATAATAATAAGACAAATATGAATTTGTTTTGCATTTTATGACTGTTGTAACTGTGCAATAAGCTGATAAGGCTTAATTAATAAAAGAAAGTAAAGACTACATTGTAGTACTGTTCATTAATTAATTAATAACTTAATGTATAAATACAACTTGTAATACTATAATTTCAAACTGATATGATCAACATACGTAACTAATTTACTGAGTAACTTATTTATAACAATTGTGCAATTCACGATGATATGATTATTAGCTTACCGGTTGTATACCATGTTCTTCAGTTACTTACATCATATAGGTGGAAAGTAATCTTTAGGGCTATCATTTGTATCATATCAATTAGTATTATAGACCTAAAAATTGCGTTTATAATTGATGGATAAGTGTGTAATAACCAATGTTATCTAGTCAGTTACCTAGTTACCTAGTCATTTGATTCTGATTAAGTTCGGTTGATCAATAATTAGACAAACATAGTATTTTTTTTACTGCTCAATGGTTAATCATTTGTAAATATTTCAGTTTAAAAGGAGACCAATTACAGCCAGAACAGCTCAGTAATAACAACTCAAATCGTAAATCTTTGTTAGACGGTCATGAATCCTAAAAGACAAATTATTTCTTCGAAGATTATAGGGGTTCATTGCTGATAAGTTCCAACGGCAACAAAACTGAGGTCATGTACAATTTCCTACTGACTGTTTTCATTGGGTAATTCTTACTACTATGATTATCGACACTCTACATTTTCCCTCATTGGAAGGCTAGCCTTTATATAGAATTTATTCATTAGATATCTTTTCATATTATACTAGCATGTTCCATAAATATAGTACTTTTAGCTATATGTCTTCATATAATTCTTCACAGAAGTTTTCTTCTGTCATTCTCTTTCTTTTTTTTAGCTTCTATTGATTATCGGAACAACAGTGATACTAACCACTGGTTATCCTTAAAAGAGTAAAGTCAAGGAAGTATCGATTATTTCATTATTCAAAATGAAATATAATTTTCAAACATGTAACGAGAAAAAGAGGAGTATACTTGTATAATTCAATTATTGACTATATTTGTTACTTTCTTAAGAAAAAAAAAGGGTAAATATTTCCGACATTTTTAGATCATCATGAAAAGCAATAGTTTTAGCTGACTTCTTTATTGATTGCTTAAAAAAAATCCATTTCAATTCAATTTACAGTCTTTATATAATATTTTATCTTAGAGGAAGATGTTTGTTAAGTAAATGTTTGCCAAAATAAACAAAATTCCTTGTAATGAAACAATTACAAAACACAATAATATCCAGTATGATTTGAAATCATTTGTAATACATCATTAAATAACAATGAAGCATTAAATAATTGTTTCTATTCAGTTTCATGAAACTTATAACTGAAAACTGGAATGACTGTAAAACATTTACGTAGAAGAAATTTCATTGATTGAAATCATGAGTCAATTGAAGCTAGACTACCATGGAAAACATGGAAGCACTGGATGGCCGTTTCGACCTAGTATGGGACTCCTCAGCAGTACGCATCCACGATCCGGCAACCCGCGAGATTCGAACCCAGGACCTAACAGTCTCGCACCAGGCGCTGAACCAACTAAACCACTGAGCCGACACCCAACGGTGTTAATGTCTAACTTCAACCAATCTGCGAAGTTGCGCCACCGTACACCATTGTCTTCAGTGAGTTGATATCTCACAACCGATCTGGTTGAACTCCACTGGTAACGAATTCTCACTAGAACTTCCGGAGTATCTCTTGAATTCAGTCACTAGTGAAATTACTAGTGAAACTATAATTTATATATGATCAATGCCAAATGACTTTGGAATGTCCACCTACTTACTAAAGTTGAAAGAGAGTTATGGACTAATGTGAGGAATTAGAAATAGGATTTACAGTTGAATGTTAAATTTAGGAATTAGAGTTAGAGTATTCATCACCGAAATGACATCGGCTATAATGTCAAAATGATATTTGTTCAAATGAGCAAATGAATTTCACGCCAAAATTCATGACCTGTTATCTTAAATCTGACTGGTTCGTTCATATTTAGGTAACAAAATAGATCAGAACACCAATTAATTTTTGTTTGTTGAAATAGATTTTATTTATTTGAAAATATTGTGATCTGAATTTAGAGTAAAAATAAATAGACTTTTCTTTGTTAATCAATCACCTTGATAAACGTTATAATATAAATCTCAACGGTGATTGAAATCAGAAGGCAATAAAACGAGGCAACTACATTTTATTAGCGGATGGTACAGTTCACAAAGCTACAGGCATATCAAGCGAATTTGAAACAGAGAAGCGAATGTGTGTATGTGAGCAAATACAGAGGCAAATTAATAGTCAAATCTTATAAGGGTACAGCATGGCAAAGCAAAAACTAATAGGATTTGAGTACATATTTACATGGGAAAGAGAATGATTCATCGATCGTTATTTAAACTAGAGAGATATAGCGTACGCGTTTACACAGACAAGATGGTGATCATAATAGTACAAAGAAATATGCGTATTGTTACTGTTCGAATAACATTGTCTGTTAATTAAGTTAATAGAATGGCTTAATAAAATTTAATCATAATTGAAATCGATTGTAGGACAGTTGCGATAACATGACCAAAACAGATTAAAGCAACAAAAAAAATCAACAAAATGGTATGGCCAATTATCTTACAAAGTGCTTATAAATTCTAAAGACGTTTAGCTAAATTATTCTATCCTATCTTTTGTAATTAACTTAATTTCACATCATGAGTCAGTTGAAGCTAGACCACCACTGAAAACCTGGAAGCACTGGACGGCCGTTTCGTCCTATTGTGTGACTCCTCAGCAGTGCGCACCCACGACCCATCTGACATTAATTTCATATGTTGACATCCATTACAAATCTAATAGACAGCAAGACGTATTAACAATGGTTTCATTTTAAATTTCAAATTGTTTAATCGTGTGCTTATTCAATGTGATAAATAATTAAGTAGTATATGAACTTCAATCCTTAAGCCTAGTTCGATACCATTAAATTAATAGATTGAGAATTAGTTAGTTAATTACCTAGTAATGAAATTTGTTAGGGATAATGGTAAACCTCAGAAGTGAGCATCCACCATACCGCCTCTCGAGATTCGAATCCAGGATCTATCGGTCTCGAGGCGAAACGACCGTTCAGTGCTTGAATGTTTTTCGTGATGGTCTACCTTCAATTGACTGATGATCTTAACCATTGAAATGACTATAAAATCCACAAAAGCCCCTTCTGATACTTATTATGATATACTTTAATTTTAATTTTTGCTTAGTGATTCAATAATTTATAACACATTCTCCTCGTGAGGGAGCATAGGTCGCTCACCAGCATTCTCCATCCAACACTGTCCTGAGCAATCCTTTTCAGCCCTTTACAGTTGTTATTCATCCTTTTCATATCTGCTTCTATTTCCCAACGTAATGTGTTCCTTGGCCATCATTTTTTCCACTTCCCTTCAGGATTCCAAGTTATAGCTTGTCTCGTGATGCAGTTTGATAATTTGCGTAATAAATGTCCTATCCATTTCCATCGTCTTTTTCTAATTTCCTCTTCAACTGGAAGCTGGTTTGTTCCAGCATAGTGATAAGTAAATGTTATTGATTTTTGTAGTGATGACCATTTCAAATATAAGTCAAAATTAAGTTTTTCTTGTTTACAATTAATTTCTACAATAGAAAAACAAATTTTTTTAAAAATTAGCCATCTGAGATTACAATTCAATGGCATAGATACAAATGATACAATAATCATTATGCCAAGACCTAGTCTAGTATATTATCCCCCCCCCAAAAAAGTAATTAGTTGTATATACTTGATTAGGAAGTAATTAATTATATACTTGATCCATCAAAAACATTGACAATAACATCATTAATAGTAATTTAGATTGAACTAAATATAGGACATATTTCTCAGTTGATTGTACCTGTTTTTGTTTCGTTTCAATTTTTGTTTACTTTAATAGAAATAAAAAAAAAACAGGGATATTGAAGTTAGTCATATTTCCAGTTACTAGCTAACAAGTATCTCATAATATGTATAAATAGTTGAATAATTTCAATAGTTAAATTATTTACCTACCGCTTATTAAAGCAGTAAATAATTTACGTAATAGATTGAAATGACGATTTATTAAGCTATTATCCTTGTTAATATGGAGGGTTTATGGAGATTGTTGAATTTTATAGATGATTCTTATAGATTGATACTAAGTAGTGAACTACTGTAAATCAGATATCATTAGACTGTTGCTTTGCTTTAGCATGGAAGTCTTAGCCCCTAAATGCCCTGGTAACATCGAGAGTGGGGAGAGGCAGCTCTCCCTTTCCAAATGCTCTCACATGGTCACGCGCATACAACCACTGACAGGGTAGTCTTACTCATCACCTTCTCAAAGCGAGGGTGTTGTTTATGAAATTGAGAGGACGAAAATCGAATGTCGAGTTGGAAAACCCTCACTCCAAACCAATGCTATACATGGGATTTTGGATCCTAAGGAAACAAATGGTGTATGAACTAATTATTAGTCACCGGCTACCATAGGACTATATCTCCTTACGTTGCTCCACTGTTTTGTGGATAAGACCTTTGGGTTAAATGTTCGGGATGTGGCTTCCTAAGAAAACCACTTGTCTCGGTTTGAGCACCCAGGCAATATCGTAGCCCTAATATAAATCGAATGATTTGTGTTGCGGATATCTATTTGTTACCTCTTTGTACCAATATTTATGCGTTTAAATAAACAAATGGAACTCCTATGGAGTGCTCATTCATTGAATTCACCATAGATGTGATGATACGTTTGTAATATGTGCAGTAATTCAAACTGCACGTATTCATTCCGTGAACCCAAAAATTAGAAGCGTAAAATAAAACTTCTTATTTAGAGAAAAAGGAGCCAAAATCAATAATTAGGAAGCTATCGTAGTGAAATACATTGTATTGTGTATTTTTCATTTATAGGTGAATGAGGTTGAATATTCACTGATTAGGTAAGAATGTTGATTTAAAACTAGGCGATAAGTTTTGCTAGGTAGTCAGTAGAACACTGGATCATTTAAACTCAATTCTCTGGTTCTAATTTGTTTCCAATATAAATTGTCATATACTTCCGAAACAACACATAATCGCTATTTCAGCGTGTATTTTAGATTAATAGATTGTAAATCTTGATCATGGGATGTAAATCAAACAGTTTACATGTAATTTAGTGGCTCTCATGTATGTGACTCCATTTACATTGTACGAATGATTGCTATCGAAATATACATCCCAGCTACCCTCGCACATATTCATCGATTCAAATCGTGTTAGTGAATTATAGAATTAAATAAGTGCGAGAATGGATTTCAAATACTTATATGTCATACAATTGTTGATCCAGACAGACGATCAAATAAACGAAATGTAGATAGCAGAGAATAGAGAGAGGAACAAAACGTATCGGAGAAGACATGTGAGCCAATTTGACTTAAGTAAACGTGACTGAGTATTTATATCCAAACAAAAGTATATTCCAGGCACATAATGAGTAGGATAAGTAATTAACATACATACGATCATGTAAAAACAGTCAGGCTTAATAAGTAAGTAATTAACAAAGTCAAAATATAGCTTGAGAAGAATGAATAATTTGGTCTATTCATAAGCTAGAATAACCTATTTGGGCTTGGTACAGCACTAGCCGCTACAGTATTAATCAAGATTGATTTAGGATACATTAAATTCTCGGTTATATCTCCATGTTAAAAACTAGTTTCGTAAGTCAATATTGGAAGTTTTACGTAGATTTCTTCACAATAATCCGTTATTTGATGTTACTGTTTTAAACTTTTAGTGGCACGTAATCTGAATTCAGTTAGATCGTTTCTGATTGTTATTGAAATATACATATCACCAGTCCATGTTTATATTCATCGACTGAACTTGCGTTTGTGAATAACGGAATTAATATAAGAATGACGTTTTGAATATGTATATTTCATACAATCGTTGATCGGAAAGTGTAGCGAAACAAAATGACGCGCAATATAGACGGCGAATGAGCCAACTCAATTCAGCCAAGTGTGATCCCATATGTATAGTGAGACAAAAATAAGTTACAGACATGTGATGGTTAAGAGAAGAAATGCACACACGTACACTTAGATAAAAACAGTCATGGTTAATAAGCGAATAAGTGACAGGGTAAAAATGTGGTTTGAGTAGAATGAATAGAATGACCTGTTCAGAGTTTAAAATAACCTATGTAAGCTTGACGTAGTACCAGCCCCTACAAACCTAATCAGAAATCTGTTTAATTATACTTGTTATTTTTAACCTTGTAGAGACGTTGATTCTTTTTAAATACATGGGAAATATAGCGATTTAAATGACAGATTTCATTATATATCTCTATCAGTTGAGAAAGAAAATCAGTAACCAAAAGGAGACTTAATAGATTTTTCATACTATACAAAGGTTTCTCATCAATATTTACTCATAGACACATATAAAACAAATTGGAAAGTTATGGAGAACGGAATGTCTTACAGTCATGAAATCTATTCATAATGTAAGTTTAGTTCCATGTAAACTTGCATTTTTATACCGTTAAACTGTTTCAAATTTATATAAAAGTAACTGTTCAGTTACCTTAAAATTTCTATCCTTCTTTTTTTCTTTTTGATATCATTCCATAAGTCATTGTTATATCTGGAGCTTTGTTTCTTAATATGCCACGTATAACGTGAGCACGTGAAAGCTAGAACCCTCCCAAATCGCAAATTAGAAGACAGAATACAAGTGAAAGGAATGTTATTCCAAACAGTATCAATTATGATACAAAAACTTTCAGGTATTTATCGTTTTTAGTAAAAATGAAATCATTATTATAGTCCTCCAATTCGCATACAGGAGGTTATTAGCATTTGTTCGAGAGAAAAGCTACACCTCGTGATTTCAGAATATTCTTCCAAAAGTTGATTGGACGGAATATCTTTGTCTCTTTCTGAGCTTCTTAGAGCTTTCTCGAACTATTTTTATTAAGTACATTTCAGAACAGGTTTTTCTTCTAAAGAGATAAAACGTGAAATAAACTATAACTGTACCAAAATTCACGAGAAAATTCAATATTTTATAATTAAAAGAAACATTTATAGAAATCATTAATCATAATTTTAATTAAAAAAGTAACGTTTATGTAATAAACATTAAAAAAAATTTGTTTTTCCTTTACAACATAAACAAATAATCAGTTTAGGGGTTGTGGAGATTGCTAAGTTTTTGATTGAAATCATTAGTCAATTAAAGCTAGACCACTATATAAAACCTGAAAGCACTGGATGGTCGTTTCGTCATATTGTGTGACTCCTCAGAAGTGCACATCCACGATCTTGTACCCCATGAGATTCGAACCCAGGACCTATCAGTCTCGCGCCAGGCGCTGAACTAACTAAACGACTGAGCCGGCATCCAATAGTGTTAATGTCAAACCTCAACTAATCCACGAAATTGCGCGACCATCTTCCATTGTACTGAGTGAGATAGACACCTGTTTCTACCCAACATGGCCGTCTAGTGCTTCCAGGTTTTCCATGGTGGTCTAGCTTCAATTGACTCATGATTTTAATCATAAACCAATAATTATTATACTCGAATATTTATTAAAATTATTGATATGAATTCATATTTCTCTCTTGTTGTTATTGTTGATGATTGGATTCCTCCGGTACACCAGTTAGAAACAAACAAAAAGAACATCAGTAACTATGCTCCATTTTAGTAAGGCGTTTAAGATATATTTATAGTAATTAAGTATTTGAATTTATGAGTCCATTAAACTTAAACCGCCAGTGAAAACTCGGAAGCACTAGATGACCGTTTCGTCCTGTTGTGGGACTCCTCAGCAGTGCGTATCCATGATCCTGCTTCGCAAGATTCGGACCAAGAACCCTTTTAAAATAACCAAAAAAAATTTTAAAAAAATTTAGTGCGTTTTTTTAGAATAAGCACAGCGTTCTTTAAAATTTTTTCATAATCTTTATATGCAAAAGATGAATAGGAAAAACAATTTAAAGAACAATGCCTCATAAAAAAATGTTATTGAAGACGGATATACTGTCAAAGATGCCGCATTTCTTGTGGACTTCAATTATCAGACCTCTACAAACGTTAACAAGAAAAAGACAAAAACGCCATCAAATAAGAAGATTACAAGGGAAATAGTTGATTTTATGGAGGAATCAATAGAATTAAATCCACTACTGACAATCTTACAAATTCAAAGGAAAAAAAGTACAAAATGTATTTTCTATAAATCTATCCATTGAATCTATAAGAAGGATCATTTATAAACTACAGATTATTCTTTAAAAAAGGGATTTGGTAAGTGAATTTAATCAATCAATAATAAGTCTCATACTCAAATCAGTAAATGAATTAACCATAAACGATTTACAAAGGGATTTGAGACATTATACGTTGAAATTGATTAAAGGCAATAGGTAAAGAAAACTTTAAAAATATTGATATATGAATTCATGAGTCACTTAAAGCTAGACCATCATGAAGAACCTGGAAGTACTAGACGACCGTTTCGTTCTAATATGGAACTCCTCAGTGATGCTCATCCATGATCCCGCCTCGCGCGGTTCGAACCC